ATATATATATATATATATATATATATATATAATATCTATCTCTATGTATCTATCAACCCTCCCTCTCTCTTTCTCTCTCAGCTATCTGTGTATCTATCAGCTCTCTCACTCTCTATCTCCATCAGCTATCTCTATCTATCTATCTATCTATCTATCTATCTATCTCAAGGATCTTCAAACTTGGCAAGTTTAAGACTTCTGGACTTCAACTTCAACTCCCAGAATTCCTGAGCTAACATGATCGGAGAAGGAATTCTGGGAGTTGAACTCTACAAGTATTAAAGCTGTCAAGTTTGAAGACCCCTGGTCTTTCTAATCAGAAAACTTTATTTTAATGGCCCAGGGGATAGAAAAGTGTGCCATTACCTCTGAGAAAAAACAGACTTTTGTCTTCAGCCCTAAAGTAAGTCCTCAACACTAGGTCATCTGTAGAACATGTTGTTCAACTTATTTATATAATTTAATCTGCTTTTCAGTGCCGATGAAATAAATATTCCTTTTCTTTGGAACTCATGGGGGAGGGAGAAATGATTATGAAGATGGAATGGTTTTGGTGTAATTTTTGCTTCTCTCCTTACTGACATTTAAGAACAGGATGTGTTGGAAGATATGAACTTTATCCATGACATTTCCAGTAAGGCCTCCATCACTAAGCAAGAATGTGGTCATTGAACTTTGAACATCGGAACTATAATGATGCAAAAGACTGACCTCTTTGATAGGATTGGCTCAGAATGGACAGAGCACATTGAAAAAAAAATTAAAGAGATATTATATTGTAAAGCCAACAGGAAAAGGTGGAAATTCAGCCGACCGGGCAGCAATCCTAGATTACAATAATCGCTGTCGGGTTTAAATGTGCCTGTCAAATGTTATCACCTTTCAGTGCCAAAGGTTTCGATAGCTGCGGTTGCAATTCTTGCAACCTGTGTTGTAAATCAGTGTCATTTCCTGCATGGTTGTGTAGTTGACACGCTTCACGTTAGAGATAACTAAACAACCAGCAAAATGTTAGGTCGTTTTGCCTTTCAGCAAAGCTAAACAAACAATGCTTGGCTGCAAATCAGTTGGGGCATTGGATAGGGAAAACAATTATGCCAATTTAATATGTCTAGTTTGGTTCTGCAACCCAACAGGACAGACATAGACTTCAGAGAGTAATTAGGACTGCAGAAAAAACAATTACTACCAACCTGCCTTCCATCGTGTACACTGCACAAGTCCAAAAGAGGGCTGTGAAAATATCTACAGACCCATCACATCCTGGACATAAACTGTTTCAACTCCTTCCCTCAAAATGATGCTATAGAGCACTGCACACCAGAACAACTAGATACAAGGGGAGTTTTTCCCCAAATGCCATCACTCTGCTAAACAAATATTTCCCTCAACACTGTACAACTATTTACACAGACTGCACTACTATTACTATTAATCTTCTCATCACTCCTTATTGCCCACCCCCACCCCCCCCACTTGTCACTGTATGACTGTAACTTGGATCCTTACTATTTATATTGACTGTTTCCTAGTATGATTGGATTGCTTATTGTAACCTATGACTATTATTAAATGTTGTATCTTATGATTCTTGATTCTTGACGAATGTATCTTTTCTTTTATGTACCCTGAGAGCATTTGCACCAAGACAAATTCCTTGTGTGTCCAACCACACTTGGCCAATAAAAGAATTCTATTCTATTCTATTCTGTTCTATTCCATATACTATTCTATTTCTATTCTGTTCTGTTCTGTTCTGTTCTAATCTAGAGCCAAAGCTTTCATCTAGGTTGGCCAAGCTGTTCAGCAGAGTCATTCAAACAAAAGCAATGGAAATGAATCAGGGAGAGAAGCAACCCAGAACTAAGGAGAAATTTCCTAACAGTTAGAACAATTAACCAGTGGAACAGCTTGCCACCAGAAGTTGTGGGTGCTCCCATCACTGGAGGCATTTAAGAAGAGACTGGACAACCAATTGTCTGAGATGGTATAGGATCTCCTGCCTGGGGTGGGGTCTGGATTAGAAAACCTCCAAGGTGCCTTCCAACTCTGTTGTTCTGAAAGCAAATTCTTCAATTTTTTTTACTGTGGAGCACAAGAAGAAGAAAAAAGTATATTTTGCCAAGATTCTCTCTCTCTCTCTTTCTCTCTCTCTCTCTCTCTCTCTATATATATATATCTAACTATCTCTATCATCTATCTATCTATCTATCTATCTATCTATCTATCTATCTATCTAGCATCTCTCTCTCTCTCTCTCCTCTCTCTCTCCCTCCCTCCCTCCCTCCCTCTCTCTTGGCTAAAGAGATTCCTTTGAACCACGACAACAGGAGTAACATTTTAATGCAACATTTTAATGCAACCAACATTTCATTTTTAAGTAATTTTTGTCCAAATACATACGCTGCACGTACCAGAGCATCCAAATAAACGTTTGTCCATTGGACTTGTTTGGCTTTTTGCTCAGCCATTACCATGGGTCTCCCCAAAACATCCAAGTATTCCTGTTTTTTTTTTAATAAAAAAAGCAAAGATTGGGTGTGAGGCATATCATTGTTATATCTGTGGGTCTAAGTATTTTGTGATTTTTCTGTTTCTTTCTCTTCAATTTTGCTGTCTTCAGGTTCTGTCGCATCTGCCATCCAGACTTTTTCCCCTTTCTGATCGACAATTGTTAATTATTTTCTTCTTCTACATTTTTACACAATGTTCCTCCCCTCCATTTAATTGGCACCTAACAACACTGACTGATATTTATAAGATGAGAGAAGTGGAGATAGATCGGTCATACAAATATCCAAGCTACCTACCATGATTTCTCCAGAGTTGTTTTTACTAGCTATTTTTATATGGATGAATTTTAATTTCTTCCACTTTAGAACTGGCATTCCCGATCAATAAATTGCTGCAAAAATGCAAACATACCTGTGTGTTTATTCTTATGGCCCCAATGGAAGGAATTTCATAATAGTAACCTGAAATAGAAAATGCAATGCAGAAATTGGAGTTTTAATGAAATAGGATTTCCAGACAATCGACTAGAAATATTATGACTATGGACATGGAGTCGACAGCAGAAGAAATTATGAAATTCAAATTTGGAAGCCATATACATGTAAAGATTGTTGATGTAAATTTCCTGATTATTTTTTTCCCTATATTTTTTTGTCTTTCCTATTGACTATGGTTAATTATTATTCTTCTGTAGTGGCCACACAAATATCCAAGTTGCGTGCCATAATTTCTTTGTTCAAAAAATCTCCCAATAAATTGACAGTCATTTACAATAAATTATAAGTAAGCTTCTTTACATGAGTAAAATGTGTAAAAATACACCTTTGATCATGCAAGCATTAAGCTTATGTTTATATTCAGATTTAGCAAGGGAAAGGATATAGATCTAACAAGACTACATGAGGTTCATAAATAGTAAATAAAGAAAGCTACAAGGACATAAATCTGATTTTATCCATAAGAGAAAATATGGGTTTTCCATATTTTGCTGCCTGCTTTATAAATATTCTATTGTTCTTAAGGTTAAAATGTTGTTTTAACTTCATGCTGTCTGGGCTTGCTTCTTTTCTTGCAGACATTTCATTACCCAACTAGGTAACCTCATCAATACTAGGAGGGAGTGGAGTTTCCTCTCTTTTTACATTTCAACTGTGAACTGCAAATAATCTCCTTTACAAGCTTAAAAGAATCAGAGTCCATGAAGCAGCAATGTCATCATAAATAAATATAAATGGTGGCTTGTTGTAAAGTATTTATTCATGCATATAAACTCACAATACCTTTGTTTTCACAGGCCATCCACTGTATGGGTCCTTTGTCATAATTATGTTGACCAACAGAAAATGTAAACACACGGACCTAAAACAGAAATATATGTGTATGTGTGTGTTCTCTAAACATCAGCTAAAAATGCTGCTGTGAGTATAATACAGTTGGTCTTTATTATTAGCAATGCTAATAAACTTTTGAACCTATTCATGAGTGTTAATAGGAAATGAAAAAAGAAAAAAAAACTTTGCCACAAGGAACAAAAGGATGGGTTGATACTTCAGCATCAGAATATATAATTTTCTATTAGATTTCAAAATGGAACAGGAGGTGGTCAAAGAAACGATGGTGCTTTGGATGAAAAATGTTGGCCACAATATAGATTTGGAACATTGGGAAAAAATGTGGGGACTAAATTACAAATTAACTATATCTGCAGCATACAGGGAAAACCTGTATAAAACGTTCTACAGGTGGCACCTACCCCCCCGCTAGGTTAGCAAAAATGTTCAATTTAGCCCAAGCTGTTGGAAGTGCAAGAAAGAAAAAGGCACTTATTTTCATATGTGGTGGACCTTCCCAGAAGTGAAGAAATTCAACAGTGATTAGAAAAAAATATAAATCAGAAAATTGAATCCAAACCAGAACTATTTTTATTAGGCATAATAACACAAAATTGTAATAGAAAAGACAAATACATTATGTTACATATTTTAACAGTTGCGAGGATCTCTTACGCACAATTTTGGAAGCAGGAAAGAGTACCACCAGAGAGTATGGTTATAAAGAAAATAATAGACTGTATAGAGATGGACAGGCTAACATTGAAACTAAAAGATAAGGAAGATTCATATTATAGAGCCTGGGACGAATGGTTTAAGAATACAAAGAAATTAAAATAGCAATTAGGTAAAGAATGAGAAGGTATGTAAATAATTTGTAGCAAGAGTAAGGAAAGAATTATGCAATGATAATGGAATAAGAAATTATATATAGAAAAATGTAAGGAAATGTAAAAGATGACTTGATGTTGATAACAATGTACAAAGTTTTATTTTATGTTTTCAATCTTTGAAAATTGAATAAAATTCTATTTAAAGAAAAAAGAAAAAAAACTTTGCCATGAGGAACAAAAGGATGGGTTGATACTGCAGCATCATTAAACAATGCCTGCCATCTAGTGAAAGAGCTGTTGTTGAGTGACCAAAAGTTTCTAGCTTCTTTTAAAAAATAGAAGACGAGCCTCATTTAGCCTTCAAACTATATCAGTTGTACAATGATTGCTTTTGGTTATCTAAATTAAGTTTGTTTTGGGTAAATGCTATCAAGCAATTTGCCTAGATCCTGTTGAAGCTCACCATGTAAAGTTCCTTGTCTAAAAAAAGATAGTTTCTTTTAAAGCCTCCCAGGTAATAAGGCATTCAAAGAGAATACGAGAGCAGCTAATTTGGATTCAACATTCCAGTGCCAATTAGACTGAAAAATGTCAATCAAAGAAAGAGGGGTGAAGCCCACTGGGAAGAAACTTAATTTAAGCCAATAATTAATCAGTAAAAGTTCTGGAATGCCAAGTTGGGTGGTACTGAGAAGACAACTCAAGGGAAGGTTGGTTTGATGCTTTCCAACTTGGCAAAACGGCAACCAGAGACCTAGGATTGACAGAGAAGTTTGACCAAAACTTTAGCCTGAAAGAGTTTTTAAATTTATCTCTAGCTCAAACCGTCAGATATTCATCTCCAGATCTGAAAAGGCATCTTATGTGGGTTGGGTTGAACATGAATGGTGAATCTGCCATACAAATGGTGTCACAGCACATTGTTAAGCCTCTAACACTGGTCCGTTCACATGGAACTTCATAAACCAGGTTTAATATCAAGAAATAAGGGTTTAGAAGACAGAATCTCACAATGGAAACAAGATTCCTGTGTGGAGGGGGAACTCTGTGAATTGTTTGAAGCCCCCTTTTCTGAACGAACAATAGCGTTTAGACTTATATACCACTTCAAAGTAATTTGCATCCCTCTCTAAGTGGTTTACAGAATCGGTATATGGACCCCAACAAACTGGGTCCTCATTTTACTGACCTCAGAAGGATGGAAGGCTGAGTCAACCTTGAGCCGATCAGGATCGAACTACTGGCAGTTGGCAGAGTTTGCCTGCAATACTGCATTCTAATCACTGCACCACCATGGCAGAGATAGCAAGAGCAATAGCCTTTAGACTTCTATACCACTTTGTCGTGCTTTATAGCCCTCTCTAAGCGGTTTATAAAGTCAGCATCTTGCCCCCAACAATCTGGGTTCTCATTTTACCCACCTCAGAAGGACGGAAGTCTGAGTCAACCTTGAGCCTGGTGAGATTCAAACTGCCAAACTGCAGGTAGCTGGCAGTCAACAGAAGTAGCCTGCAGTACTGCACTCTAACCACTGTGCCACTGTGGCTCAAATCTGTCTTTGTGCGTGTGCATTTTAATTTTCCAACCAATGAATTCTTCAAAATAAGCACTGGGAGTTACAATATTACTAAAGGTAAAGGTGCACATCGCTGCACTATATTGATTGCTCTACTCAAATGAGCAGTTTCTGAAGTAAATCCTAGTTCCCCTCAATATCTATTTTCTTGGTACAAAAGCCCACAACGGCTTTTTGAAAAATAGAACAAAAAGGCACATCGCACCTCATTTCATAATGCGATCCATCTCTGCCTTAACAACTGTCTTTGATTTCCCTCGTGGTCAAATCACCTTAAATACAAAATTGACTCCCACCAAATGTTTGAAAAAAAAACACACAAAAACCCAACATATCATCGGTGGAATTGAACAGTCTTCCAGACAGCCAAGTTATTAACAATTCAGGCTTATTTCACATAACGGAGCTTTATAAAAACAGGATTTTAATCAGCCCATGTCGTTTGCCAGATGCTAGGACATTCTACGCACAGACCATGGATTAAATAAATGAATGCGCGAACAAGAAGTTGGTGCCCGTAATGATGCATTCCCGCAAAGACCTTTCTGGAAAGTGACAGACCACTTAGCTGAAGTCTTAAATTTAATTACAAGGAAGAGCTTGCCTGACATTCTTTAAGCTGGTTAGTCTTCTTATCAATCAACGATCTAGGATCTGGCTAGAATTCCCATCTCTGGCCGGTACATGTCAGAGACTATCTGAATCAAGGACTTCCAACCAGAGGTGGTCTTCAACAGGTTCTGACCAGTTCTGAAGAACTGGTAGCAGAAATGTTGAGTAGTTGGGAGAACCGGCAAATACCACTTCTGATTGAAGATTTTACAGTATCCTTCCCTGCCATGCCCACCAAGCCATGGCCACAGAACTGGTAGTAAAAAAAAATTGAATCCCACTACTTCCAGCTTGCTCTAAACAGCAGTGGTAATTTGAGTAGCCCCCCCAAAAATTAGTATTTCAGTTGTCTGACAGAAGGGGAAGAAAGCAACTGGGAGACCCTCGAATACTGGAATATTGCTATCATGTCACCCTTAGTCCTTGCTTTCTCTTAGATTAGCCATACCCAATTTGCAATATCTGTAGCTATTCCTCTGATGTTTTTTTTTTTTTTCATTTCCAGGCCTTTAATTGTTTTAGTTGGTCTTCTTTGAGATTTTGGAAAAAGTGCAAAGAAGAGCAACTAAAAGGATTAAAGGCCTGGAGACAAAAACATATGAAGAACGGTTGTAGGAATTGGGTTTGGCTAGTCTAGAGAAAAGAAGGACTAGGGAGGGACGTGATAGCAGTATATGCAGTATTTGAGGGGTTGCCCCAAAGAAGAGGGAGTCAAGCTATTCTCCAAAGCACCTGAGGGCAGAACAGGAAACAACAGATGGAAACTAATCAAGGAGATAAGCAACCTGGAAATGAGGAGAAATGTTCTCAATGACAGTTGAGAACAATTAGTCAATGGAACTGCTTGCCTTCAGAAGTTGTAGGTGCTTCATCACTGGAGGTTTTTAAGAAAAGACTGGACAGCTACTTGTCTGAAATGGTATAGGGTCTCCAGCTTGAGCTAGAAGACCTCCAAGGTCCTTCCAGCTTTATTCTGATTGGTCCCAACCACCATGTGCTACCCCAGACGAAGATGTCACTATATTATCTCCCATGCTACCAAAGATAGTTATTGAGTGCAGATAGCTATTGGGTTCCCAACTGTAGAACAGTCATGGCACTACCACCGTTGAACTTCCATTGCTCCAGTCCTGCTGTCCCAACTCAACTGTCCAAGAAGAGGGGAAGGGAAGACTTCACCAAAAACTAGAAAATAGCTAATTTCATGAAGTTGACTTTGAAGACCCTTCATCAAGCGTTCTTCCAAAATACACGAAAGCTGAGAGGAGGCATTGTGTCCTCTCTTCTCAGGTCCTATCAACAAGCCATGAAATGAAAGTTGAACAACACTCAATTCCATTAGGCTGGAAGTCTTGCCACCATATTAACAACACTTGGAAAGATGGGGTAGTGAAGATGGCGCTGAGGGAAGACACAGTTAGAGTGAATTTGAGATTGTTTGGACAGAGAACCCAAAAGTGTGTGATTGTGCTCTATGACAAAATCTTTGAAAGTCAAGAGAGCTTGGAATTTCAAATCTGGGTGACACATAGAAACGTTCATCTGCTTTTCTTGGCAATAATTGAAAGTTGACTTCAGCCCTTCTTCCAGAATGTTTTTCAACTTTGCAATGTAGCCTACAGCTTTGGCATTTCCAGAAAGTCTCCCATCCAAATGCTAATCAGACCAGATCCTGCTTAGCTTCTGAGCCCAGATAGTCAACCTGGTGCTACCCCAGCTGTGACATAGTTTCTGTTATCTCCTTAAATTGTCACATTTCTTTTTTTATGATTGCCTAAAAATGTGAATGTGAAAATGAATAAAATATTATTTTAAAATAGACCAAAGCTCTTTGTTTAAAATTCCACTGTTCGTTCCTATTTCTTATGCACTGACCTAAGTTCATGCATGTTACATATTTGCAACGCCTTCTTGATTTTTTTTTTTTTAAATTGCAAATAATTTTTTAAAAAGTAAATATCCCAAAAGAAATTTACTGGAGGATCTTACCTTCTTGTCTTTATTGTACTTCTCGAATATCTCCTGAGCCTTTTCTTCCCCTCCATCAGTAAACAACATTATAATTTTGTTGCAGTTAGCTCTGAAGACACTCTGGCTGTCCTGGAATAGAGGACAATGTAGTCATATGAGACTTTTTTTCAGAAATACGCTTCTATCTTTTTCCATGTTTCCTCACTGTATATAGAGACCGCTATTTAAAGGCACACCCTTTTAAACATGCAAATATTCAACACATACTGTGATGACCAGGGGTGGGATTCAAGTTTTTTTTAACAACCGGTTATATGGATGTGGCTAGGTGGACATGACCGTGTGACTGGGTGGGTGTGGCTTCTTCTCTTTTTTTGCAGCAATCCCCCTCCCCATTTTTTTGCCACCTGGGCCACAGGGAAGCCTCCTGGGTGAAGCAGTAAGACAGCGAGGGGGATTCCAGCACAGCTGATCATCGGAACAGCTGATCATCAGGAGGAGAAAAAAAGAAATACCTTAAGGAGTGACTGGGTGGGGGAGAATGCAGTCAGCGATGTCACACATGTGCAATAAGGACTGACTGGGTGGGGAGTGGAGGGGCCAGCCAGGGGCACAATTTGCCGGTTTTCCGAACTGCACAGAATCATAACAACCAGATCTATAGAACTGGTCTCAGCCAGTAGAATCCCATCCCTGGTGATGACCCAGGGCATGGCACAGAGGTAGCTGACAGTTCAAATTGCCCCTTTATTGCTCCAAATTGCCCCAAATGTTCCCACATTTCTGGCAAGTCCCAGAGCAAAGTGATCTCTCTCTTTCTCTCTCTCTCTCTCTCTCACGCACCTCCATCAGCCTCTAACTGGAAGTAGTCTAGCATAATGCTATGAGCACAATGGCTGCAAAGCAAGAAATCCAGCAGGGCAAGTCGAGGAGTCCAGGAAGTAAAGGAGCAAGGCAATTATTACCAGAAAGCCAGAAAGAATGCAAGGAATCCTGGAAACTTCAAACCTTGGCATTCAACACTCCATGAATTCAACGCTTGTACCTGACAAATGCCCTCCCTACAGTGTCTCCTTAAGTCTCAGTCACCAGTTGTGAAGAGGGGCAGGGTGCTCTCCTCCCGAGTAGTTGAGCCAGTCTGCACTGTTCTTGCCTTCTCTCCACTCTCCATGCTCACGGATCAGGAGGGGGTGGTCCTTGTGCATCGCCTGAGCTTTGTCTCTCATGTTCACTGCTTGAACTCTCTTGGTCATCCTGCCTCCTTTCTCCCTGCCTACAAGCCATCCCAATCCTGAAAGGTCCTGGCCTGCCTCAGCCTGCTTCTCCCCATTTTCCTTCCAAGCCAAGGAAGCAACTCCCTCTATCTCTGTTGGCTCCAGTTCCAGCTCGTCTTCCTCCACAGATTCAGGCTCTGATGGAGGCATGACACATACACATAAAAATGATGGGACTTTGATTGCTTTGACCTAGAATGAGTTCAGGTCTCCTCATCTGACTGCTGACTTCTGTTCTTGCAGTCTATTATTTAACTTCCTCCTCGTTTATCCCACATAATCATTGATAGTCTCACATTGCAATGAACAAGGACCATTTGATTTTGCAGCAACTATGATTGTTGGCCGAGCAAGTACAAAAATAGCCAAGGAAATGATTGAAGCCTGGGAAACAGGTCCCTCAGAGGTGGTATTCAGCACGTTTTGACCAGTTCTGGAGAACTGGTAGCAGCAATTTTGAGTAGTTCAGAGAACTGGCAAATACCCCCTCTGACTGGCCCCGCCCCATCTATTCTCTGTCTCCTGAGTCCCAGCTGATTGGCTGGGTCTTCTTTTGTTGCCCTGCACAGGAGAACAGAACTGGAAAGCAGATAAGTGGGGTGGGGAGGGAATGGGGATTTTGCAGTATCCTTCCCTTGTCACGCCCACCAAGCCACACCAGCCACACCAACAGAACCAGTAGTAAAAAATTTGAATCCCACCACTGAGGTCCCTGATCAGTCAACAGGGGTGCTGAATTACCACCAGCCTATCAAGTACTTAGGAGTTTGAAGCACAAGGAAATGACAGCCAATTGCCAGCCATCAACACACCAATCAGCCAATAGGAAGGCACCACATAAATATGACACCTAGAACAGCCCAAAGCACATATTTGAGTAAAGTGAAATTCCCTGAAAATGGGCTCCAGCATGAATTTGAAAGCTTGGAAGAGTAAATCTGTGGTCCAAGTGACCGATCCAAATTAGATCTCACATTATCCTAGGACACATATATCTGCCTTGATTCATAAGATAATTTCTCCCTGCTATTTACAGAAAGATTGGCAAACTAACTCCACAGAAGAAAGACAGGATGTTAATGTGATTTATAAATAAAATTGGAAACCACTCACTTATTCAATAACTAAGGCCATTCTGAAGCAATCATAACTTTATGGTACTACAAAAATGTCAATACACTAAAATTAAGTTTTTAATTTGCCAAGACCCAAGATTATTAAATTGAACGAGTCTTAAATACGGAGTCATAAATATTTTAAGTTGTTTATCTATCCATCATTTTTTTTTCCAAAACACTCTCCCTAGGTTAATAAAACCAGCAATACAATCTTGATTTGGAAATAAAACATTTATGCAGAAATAAAAAATGCATGTAGGATTCAACACACACTCTGGTGCTTTGGAAAACTGACAGCGTAAACTATTTTTTTAAAAAAATCCTTCATAAATATGATAAATTACCCATGGTAAAACTTGCTTACATTCCAGATTCTGTGATGATATATAAAATTCTATACACACTTGAATAAATAAAATAATTTGTAAAGATTCAACCTGTGAACAATCACCATGGTTTAAATAAAGGGACCATTTTAGATATTTAATAAATACAAATATTTTTTTTGCAAAATTATTGTAACTGTATATCTCAATTGAGGACCAATTTAAATAATATCTTGAAAGCACTTATTGGTCAAATAAAGATATAGGAACTGAATATTGAATTTCCACTAAATTGGCATAGCTTGATACATACAGTAATTTCCACTTTATGAATATTGAATATTAAATGAGTAGCTTTGTATAGGAGTTATATCAGTGGTCCTCGACTTACAATGGTTCATTTAGTGACTGATCGAAGTTACAGCAGCACAGGAAAAAATGACCTATGTCCATTTTTCACTCTTACGACCATTGCAGCATCCCCCTGGTCACGTGATCCAAATTCAGACGCTTGGCAACTGAGTCCTATTTATGATGGCTGCAATGTCCTGAGGTCCCTTCTGTGACCTTCTCAAAGGAGAAGCCAACTATTGACTTGATGTCTGTAATTATTCACTTAGCAGTTGTGGCAAGAAAGGTCATAAAGCCCACTTAACAAACATTTCTCTTAGCAACAGAAGTTTTGAGCTCAATTGGGGTCATAAGACAAGGACTTCTTGTACACTACCACCTTTTAGGATGATCGTTATGAGCAAAAGAGCTTGAAAGCAGCTTATGCTAGACTGGCAAGCCCTCCCAAAACCCAAGAACTACATCTGGACTAATTCCTTTATTGCTGTTGGCCTACAGACAGAATCTTGCCAGATTAAAGCAACTGTCTGCAATACTGTAGCTACAGTATATGCTGTGAACTGCTAGGGAGGATTTATCCTTGCTGTGATGACCTGGGGTGTGACACAAAAATATAAAGTCACAAAAGTAGAATAAATTCCCTTTAATGCCTCCAAATTGGGCCCCAATATCCAATTATCCTCGTCTGGTTAACAAGCTCTTCAAAAAACAGTCTACGAAGGGAAGAAATGCAGTCCAAACCCAAAGTAAAGATAATTAGAAATAAAAAAACAACACAAACCATGCTGAAGTAATTAACACGGCAGGCCAGGATGATAAATTGCAGACTTTCAAAGGATAACCAGTACCCACAGTTGGGAGGACGCCAAAACCCAGATAAGCCTCAACCAAGATAGTGCATGCTTTGCTTCCAGCAAGGAGCTGTGTGCAAATGCCCCATTTATATCCTGTTCTCAACTAATGAAAGGGATCAGGGCCTTCTTCTCTCTCGTAAACCACGTTGCTCCCTTCTCCGTTCTTCCCTGTGTGCCCTAGGATGAAAAGGGGGTGGCCCTGGGTCTTCCTCTGAATGCCCAGATGGACTGTGCCCTTCCCCCATTTCTTCCACAGCCACCGGAGCTACACTCCCACTCCCTGTCAGCTGCTCAATCTCCCCCTCAGAATCAGACTCCAACTAGGGTGTGACACTTGCCCTCTTCCAAAGACCACTCCCCTGTCTCTTTGCAGAAACAGCCCCTCCCTCCTGCAATATCAGTCTACCAGCAACCACATAGACCAAGAGTGTCAAACTCAAGGCCCATGGGCTGGATCCATCCAGCGGAGTACTTAGAGCTGGCCCACAGGACTGCCTTGGAAACAGCGAAGGACCAGCTCGCAGTGCCTTGGCATGACCCAGGCTGAGCTCCGCTTTCATTGGCAGATTGCTGCAGGAGGCCACCGTGGCTGAAAACTGAGCTCGGGAGGGGCGCCCGTCTTTGCTGGCAGACTGCTGGCAAAACAAACTACTAACAAAAGTGGCATTTGATCACAAGGCAAGGAGGCATCGAGAAATGTTTCCCCTTTTGCAATTGAGCATCCAAGAAGGGACAGGGAAGGAGAAAGGGACCACAGGCGCCCCCAACATGAGTGACGTCGAGTTGGTCATGCCCATCCCAGCCATGCCCTCATGCCCCCTAAGGCCAAACACAACCCTGGTATGGTCCTCAATGGAATCGAGCTTGATGCCCCTGAAACAGAATGTGTAATGCTTCACTTTCTAATTCTAAAAAGAACTTCAGAACAGTCAGTCTTTCCCAGGGAAATACAGGTTTTCAAAGCTTTCCAGAGAGGCAACAAAGTTGGAATCGTCTTAATTTTGGACAGTAAATGATTGAGAAGCTCCCAGGACAATTTTAAGGAATATTTTGGAGATGCTGTCCCAAAGATGCTTTTTTTTCTTGGGCTTTCTTTTTTTCTGGGCTTTTTGGTTTTTCTCTGAAGACATTTCGCTTCTCATTCAAGAAAATTCAAAGAAAAACCAGGAAGTCCAGGTACCTCTTGAAAAAAAAAAGGTAAAAAAACCAAACAAACCATATTTGGGACAACTATGACCTGGATGACTGAGACTCTTCACAGACATTTTGGAGATGCTACACAACCAAGACAAATTCCTTGTGTGTCCAGTCACACTTGGCCAATAAAATATTCTATCTATCTATCTATCTATCTATCTATCTATCTATGTGTTTGCTCACCAAATCTGAATGATTTTGGCATTAATCACAGTTGTCGGTCAACCTAACCTGAATTCTGATCGGAGGCAGCCAGCCACCCCATAAGTCAATTTTTCAAGTTAGCAGGTTTCCCCAAGTATAGCTGAAATTAGCCAGAGTTTGCCAAGCCCACAACTCTGAATACCCCAGAGGTGGTATTCAGCCGGTTCTGACCAGTTCTATAGAACTGATAGTGGAAATTTTGAGTAGTTTGAAGAACCAGCAAATCCCACCTCTGACCTCTGCCTCCCACTGAGTGCCAGCTGATCAGCTGGGTCGTCTTTGGTTGCCCTGCAGAGGAGAACGGAGCTGGAAAGCAGGTTACTGGGGTGGGGAAGAAATGGGGATTGGGCAGTATCCTTCCCCTGCCACCATGCCCACCAATCCACACCACGCCCACCAAGCCAGACCCACAGACCGGTAGTAAAAAAAAAATTGAATCCCGCCACTGCCACAAACATTCGCCATTAGGGAGGGAAGATTTACATTCCTCTCTTAAAAGTTTTATTTCGGAAAAAAAAAAACCTTTTTCCTAGAGAGGAGGGAAGACAAAACTCTTGCATCTGAGATCACAACGGACATAAATGTATCAGAGTTAACACCCTCCTCCAGCTAATGTTATTAAAATTAAATTGAACCGCCGCAGGAAAAGATTATTATTCCAAACAATTTTTTTTTTGTTAAAATGCAAGCAACAGTGGGAAGCAACTTACCACTCACCATATTCCTTTTAAAAACTCCAACTGCTTTTAAAATGGCTTTATTAAAAAATACCCATTTCTACCCTGCAACCCTCTTATTGTGAAAGTAATGTTCTTATGTGTGCAAATCCAAACCGTTTCCCTTAGACACATCAGGATGACTCAAAAGAACTTCTGAACTTAATGAAGCCTGTCTTCACTTAATGACTGCTTGCTTAGTGAGCGTTCAAAGTTATACCAGAAGCCCCAAAAGGTACTTATGACCACTTCCAGAACATTGATGGTGGTCCACAGATACTCATGTTCACATGATCTTGCTTGGGTAGCTTGGTAATTGCAAAATTCTGTTTTCATATGACCCTGATCTATCTATCTATCTATCTATCTATCTATCTATCTATCTATCTATCTAGCATCTATCTACCTACCTACCTACCTACTATTTCTTATTAGTAATTCTTACACATGCTGGCTAGAATAACTGACCATCATTATTTCACATATCTTTTCTAGTCTGGACAGAGGCAAAGTTTTATTATAACTTTATAATAACATGCAATGTATGCCACTTTAATTCATGCCTGCCAAGCAAAACAGGGGCAATATCTTTTAGTAAGCCCGTTCAGACTGCCATAAAAATTTCTCATGTCCAGAGTTTTAAAAATTAATACTCAGATAAAATCGGTTCTTTTTTTCTTACTAGGAATTTATTTCTTCAAGTGGGTCGTTGGTGCTCTCTGAATTTGTTTCTGGCAGACATTTCATTACTGAAACTAGGTAACATCATCAGTGTTAGTTAATCATTGTTAATTTATTTATTTATCACTAGAGGGCACTGTGGCACTGCTGTTTCTTCTCCAGTATCATTGCCCCCGCTACTGGTTAAAAAGTATAGTGCGGCTTTCATAAAGTTAAGTTTGGAAAGACAGTGGCTAGGTTGGGAAGCATCAGCTGAGAAGAGTGAACAGCAGGTAGAAACAGAAGAAGTGGCAGGAGTAGAAAACACGATAGAGGACAATACATTAGGGAAGGGAAAGGAGGGTGCAAGATGAACGTATGGGGAGGCAACGGGTAGGAAAAGAGGAGGCAACAAAGAAGGTCAAGGTGGTGAAATTATGACAGGGTTGCAGGAGAGATGGAATCTTTCCCAAGGAGCAAAGATGAAGCTCAGCATGGAATCCATGGTATGCAGGGAGAGAGCCAGGATGGATCCTAACTAACTCTCACTGGATATATCTAATAGCTAGGCAGATTTGTGCTTTAGTCTAGCAAGATTCCTGTCTATAGGCAAACAACAATAAAGAAACTGTTCTGTAATAATGTGTGTTGTTCTTGGTTCCCTGCACATGGCAGTTTGACCACACTGTGGTGTGTGTAAGTAAGCAAGCAAGCAAGCAAGCAAGCAAGCAAACAAACAAATGGAAGCGTGGATGCCTCTTGGAGGTCCCCTAAGACAATCTTCTAGGACCCCTCAAAAGCTGTATTTTTCTTCTTTCTTTCTTTCTTTCTTTCTTTCTTTCTTTCTTTCTTTCTTTCTTTTCTCTCTTTATTCCTTTCCTTCCTCCTTCTGTCTTCCCACCCTCCTCCTTACCTTCCTTCTTCCCTCTTTCTTCCTCCCTCCCTCCCTCCTTCTCTTTCTTTCTTATCCTGGGCTTAACCCATACCCTAACCCAGCCATTTTTATTTTGTTTATTGCATAAACCATGTTATAAACACATAGCAACTTAGCACCACAGCTTAACCCAGGTGTCGGGGGTGGGGGGGGTATGACGTTAGAATACCACCTCCGGTTTAAAAAGACAGATCTTTTTTAGCATTTGTACAGTACACAAATGATGAACCCCAGTTGAAAAAGCTCACGAGTGTTGCTTCCCAGCCCTTACATTGAGCAGCTGCTCAAAGGCGTAACTGAATCCTTTTTTGTAATCAGTGATTCCTTTCGCTTGGATTTTGTAGACGGCTTCCTTCAACTTCTTTTTGTTCCTCACGTTAGCTTGTACGAGATGATTGAAACAACTGACGTTTTGAGCTTTATCGTTGAACTGGGAGAGAGAGAGAGAGAGAGAGAGAGAGAAGCAGTCAATACAACAGAGAAGGTAAATGAAGACATTTTGCAAATTAGATCACAAATTAAGGGATTGATAAAACATCAGGTGTCCCTAAACTGGAGCTAAGATTTATTTATTTTTTTGCAGGATATAAATGTTTAGACAAGGAGGTTTCCATCATTACTTCAGAATTTCTTCTCCCTTCTGGAGAAACTGGCTACACAGAAGCTAAAATTTTCTGAATTTCCCAACAAAAAGAAGAAGAAAAATGTCACACCATATAGATGAACAGTTTAGAGAATGTTTTTTTTAAAAAAAAGCAAATGAGGTCAATCGCTGATTAAATCCAGTCTCTGATCTGGTTTGGAAAAACAGCTATGCAATACTTTAAACCATCTAGATTTGCATCACTGATAGCAAATGAAGCATTGTTGCTCTCAAACTGCTTCCTCCTTAATGGTTTATTTGTTTGCATCTACTATTTATGACGAGAGTGGTTCCATCAAAATGGTCTGCTGATGGAGGCTGATTGAGGGATTGAGAATCTAACAAAACAAATAACCAATTAAACCAACTGGATTAACATCCCAGATACAAACTGTTTCAACTCAAAACGACGCTATAGAGCCCTGCACACCTTAACAACTAGACACAAGGACAGTTTTTTCCCGAATGCCATCACTCTGCTAAAGAAATAATTCCCTCAACACTGTCCAACTATTTACTAAGTCTGCACTACTATTACTATTAATGTTCTCATCACTGCTTATCGCCCATCCCCTCCCACTTGTGACTGTATGACTGTAACTTTGTCGTTTGCATCCTTACAGTTTATAGTGACTGTTTCCTAGTATGATTTGATAGCTTATTGTACCCTATAACTTTATTAAGTCTTGTACCTGATGATTCTTGACAAATGTATCTTTTCTTTTATGTACACTGAGAGCATTTGCACCAAAGACAAATTCCTTGTGTGTCCAATCACACTTGGCCAATAAAAGAATTTTAATTCTAATCAAAAGAGCTAAAAGAGCTGTCAAAAGTTTTGTTCCCACATACTAGGAGGGGGTGAGGGCAAGGCAAATGAAAATCTGAAGATTATTATTTAAAATCAAGAGATTAAAACACATCTCGGAGGAAATCTGGGGGGAAAAATGCGCTGGTTTTACACAACTCCCAAAGGGGGGGGGGAGTACAGTAGCTATTTTTAAAGTCTTCACCACTAGGTGGCAGTGCCATAACGCAGAAGGAATAATAGAGAATTACTATAGAATTCCTCCTCGAATTAACTATCACAATTGAGCCACAAATTTCAGTTGTTAGACAATGGCTAATTCGGTTTTCCCCCATTTTATGGCCTTTCTGCAGTCGATAAGTTAGTAACACAGTTGTTAAGTAAATCTGAATTATGCTCAGGTGACTGCAGGGGACTCTGCAACGTTTGCAAGGGTGAAAAACGGTCATAAGTCCCTTTTTTTCATGCCATTGTAAGTTCGAATGGTCGCTAAACAAATGTTTGGAAGTCAAGGACTACCTGAAGTGTTTTACTGGCATATAACACTCCTTCAAAAAGATATGTTGCTCTATCAGGGAGCAAAGAGAAAATATCTGCTGTGAACTCTATATAGGCATTAGGAAAGGCATCCAGCCAGTAAATGCTCAGCTCCCCTCCGTCGCCTCAACTCCACCCCGGGTTAAATGGGGTGCAAAAAAATATACTGTCAACTCATAAAATATTTCTCTGGTCTTTTTAGAGTTGCCAACAGAAAGGGAGGTGGGGAGCAGTGTGGCAGCTTGGAAACTGAAACTGCATTCCATAAATGTTTTCAGAAATTGTAACTAAGTGACAAGTTTCTGCCATGGAAAATTCTAACCGGAGAGCCTGATTGATGACTCTGGGCTATGGAGGTGTCCCATTGGAGAATATGAATCATGCTACCCAGGGGGTGGGGGAAAATCAGGGTCAAGGGTGACAATGAATGATGTGCCTCAGAGTCGGCTACACCCAGGCAATGCTGGACATGTTAACTCCCAATAAATCCTTTTTGAGTTTTAGAAGTTTGGCTCGAGACTCAAGATTTCAATGGGGGGGAACTGCTGGAATCCTGACATATATATTGAAGACAGTTTCTCTTGTCACGTACCACACAACTGCCTTGAAAATTCACAAGCAGAGGTCTCAGCTTCACAATCTACTAAAGATGGAGAACAATCCTTCCTTCCTTTGCATTTGCCGAAAGTATCTGTCATAGGTAAAATAATTTTTTTTTCCTGCAATGGCACATATTAGCCCCTGTATATTCAAGCAGGGAACTTTTGCAAACCACCATCCACTGATTAATTATATCTGCAGATTTGTCAACAACAGCAACTATTTTCTCTTTCTATTTCTCTTTCTTTCTTTCTTTGTTTACCCGATTTATGCAGCCACCAATCTCCATGAGTGACTTTGGTGAATAAACCGAATTAAAATAAAAGCAATGACGCACATTATAAAAGTTCAAATACAAGCAGCCGAAAAACAACCCAAATCCCACAAAATATTGTGTGTTACCTGAAAAGTCTACAAACACATTCGTTACTTGCTTCATTCTTTGGACTCAGTCTAAAGTTATTAAGGTAAGGCTGAAATTTATATGTCTGTCTCTCTGTCTATTTGTCTATCTATCTGTCTATCTTCATCATCATCTATCATCCATTGATCTATCATCTATCAATCATCTATCTATCATCTATCTATATCTATCTTTATCATCATCTATCTATCGATCATCTATCTATCTATCTATCTATCTATCTATCTATCTATCTATCTATC